CGTCAACCTTCATATCACAGAGAAGTAGCATATCTCCCTGCGATATCCGATGGCAACAATAAATCTAGTTTTTAGTCTACATCAACATGTAACTTTACAAACCCTGTGTTGTAAGTTTGTCCGTCAGCAGGCGACATATACAATGCAAGTTGTAATATTCGGATCAACCGAATAAATTGTGACATGTGCACACCATAGAGTAGCAGGGATGTTGCTATCAAAAATGAGTTTAAGGTTCTCGCAATAATCAGGGAAATGTGTAATGCAAAGAAATGGTGTAGAGTATGGGAGGTCACGATAAAGATAAGAAATGCTGCAATATATTTGTCTGACCATAAAGTAAAGGAAAAGGAGGGAAACACAATATTCTGCAAAGAGCCCAACAAAAATCACCTCTAACGACATGCTCCTGGATGCAAGAGGCTTTTTCTTTCCCAACACCTGCAAGGGGAGCCTCTTTCGTGTAAATTGATACAATGCCATACTGATTTAGATATATTAATGTAGCATTGCTGCTCGTCTGCTCAGAATGCATAACATTAAAGTACTCTTAGAAGTAATTAACGTCGAGCACTAAATATTGAGCAAAGTACAAGTAATGCATAATCAGCCTCACGATCAATTCTTTGATTTTTTGTAATTAGTTTGATCGACTATTTGCTCACAAATCATCAGCATATATGATTATGAAATATAAAAACAAACCTTATTTAAAAGTTTGATATTTCTTGACACTAATTAATATTCCAACACCCTGACTCTGACAAGTGTTTCGAAGTTTAAGACAACACTTCATCGTATATATAAATGCAGTTGCATTGCAGTTTATCCTCTTGACTTTCAGGAAAAATGTAACGATCTTCACTCGTCGACTCAGTTTTTGAAGCATTAACCGATTCACCACTGAAGACACATTTTAACTCATCCAATTCAAAGGTTCGAAAAGTTCATAATGAAATATTTGGGGTGAATAAGTTATTTTTCCCCTACCAGTAATTGGTTTTGAGCACCGTTCAGTTAAGGTGGCTCCACACTTCGTTGAAACTTTCATATAATGGTTACGCAACTATGTAGAGTTATGAAAATCTAAACATTCCGATAGTTTGGGGACTTTTTTGGAAAAAATACCCAAAAATTGAATTTTCGTCAATTTTAATATTTTCCGGTTTTTTTTTGGTATGTGGCATTGTTCGGAACAATAACAACAATAATGAAATGAAAAGAAACATTTCTAATTAACCCTACAAATATCCTATTTATCGCAAAATATGTAACACATGTTACACAAAGTGTTTTTTATTGAATTTGTACGGATAAAAGTGATTAATAAAAGTGATTATCTACAAGCTAAAAGCAAACAGGACACAAAGATCTATACCTATAAAATGGGAAATTGAACAAAATATATACAATGGCTTTATAATTAATTTATTTTACATTTTACAATCACATTGATCCGGGTGGAAGTTATCTTCCTTAAAAAAATCGGAACATTTTGCAAAGGGATGACATTTACGCAATGACAGTTGTCTCTGTTTACATATAACAAAATTGATGGAAATAAATAAAAAATATGATATTAAAATTATCAATTTATTGTTCTTTAATGGAACCAAATTAACCTCAGACATGTACACTTTGGATATCATTTCACATTCCGCTAACTTACGGTATATTTATAATTACATGTCAGGTACATATGTGACCAGAGGCTATCGAATGGTATGCATTTCTCACGTGCACTCACACATGCATTTCATAGGTATCTTGATATTTTACAAAACATTATTTTCAAGAGTAAGTAGACTCCATTTGTAAACACGATTTAATCGACAGAGCGAAACTCCCTCAACAGCGAAAATCGTAACGACCTCGAGCTCATGAACTCGTGTAAGCACGTGATATGCACATGTGAGGTCGGTACGTCCGCATTCCATGTGTTTCCTATATGACCTTCTTGAGGTCGTCTGGTCCCATGTCACTGTCTTCCCGTGAGTCTGTTTATGTCTATGAATTGGAAAGCTTTATTCCTGAAGTACGTGTGATTATACATTTCCCGGTAAAATATCGATATCGGGACGCACGTGTACTATTGTTTACCAGGGGCTTGTTCGTTTATGCGGAACAACCGTTTTGACCGTTTATAAATGTAACAATGTCGGGTATAAATCCTGGCGGACCTGCAAATGTGTATGCAGGCCTTGCAAGGCTTTTTCAAGGCTAGCCTGAAAGCAGCATCAGCTTACTAGGACCGACCTTATTTAATAAACGAACAACAGTGGTCCGATCGGTTTGACCGTTTAAACGAAAACGGCTCAGGTGTTACTATAATTTGCACTACGATATTAAATGCCCGATACGCAATACGGAAATGACGACTCGGTGTACATGCACATTTCGATCAAGATAATTGAGTCCGAGCTGTACTTTGTCCGGAAGTACGTCACGAAAATGGACGCTGATGACGATTTGTGGAGCCACCTTAAACACAAGTGCATATTTAGCGTTATGTTTTAACATATTTGCGATTACCAAAATCAACGTCTTTCACTACAAGGCCGCGGTGGCCAAGTGGTTAAAGCGTCTGAAATTCTGCTTACACTAATCTTTCACCACTGGGTCGCGGGTTCGAGGCCTACATGGGGCAGTTGCCAGGTACTGGCCGTAGGTCGGTGTGTTTTTTCGGGGAACTCCGGCTTTCCTCCACCACCAAAACCTGGCACGTCCTTAAATGACCACAGCTGTTAACAGGACGTAAAACTTAAACAAAACAAAACAAAACAAAACCAACACTCAAAGGCAAGCATTGGTTTTTATAAGATGCATAAACATTACGGTACCTTAATATATATTTCAATTACATTTTCTCTTTGATTTTGTAAATAAAAATCTATAAGATGATTAGCTGTTAATAGGACGTAAAACTTAAACAACTCAAAACCAAACAGAACCAACACCCCAAGGCAATAATTGGTTTTTATAAGATGCATAAACATTACGGTACCTTAATTTATATTTTTACATTTTCTCTTTGATTTTGTAAATAAAAATCGATAAAATGATAAGTACTTGTTAACATTATTTCCAAACCTTAGTTCTGTCTTGCATTTCAAACGTAGGTCGTACTCAGTATGAAATCATTTATATTGTACCAGGCAAGGACTCATCAGACTGAGTAGCGTTATCGAAAAGCAGAATAATCCATAACCAATTACAGGTTATTGAAATTGTTTAACTGACCCTTTGACGTGTAACTGTCCAGATGGTAAATAGAAACACTTAGTGTTATTTGAATAACTAGGCTTCGCTTTGTAATAAAATACACTACACCAATCCCATAGTTATGTTATTATGTTTGGTAATGTGTACTTAGTACAACTTGAAACATTGGTCCCAACAACCACACACGGACCTACGTCATGTGATGATGAATTGCTGAAAATCCGGGGAAAATTGCAATTAAATTACATCAGGATTGTGAAATTCTAAAAGATGATTACAGTTCAAATATACATTTCTATAGTCGGAGCTAGGAGACATGCACTCTTTTAAAACATCAAAGTACTGAACCTGTCATAGTGTTATTTATAATATTAGGACAATTCAGAACGAATTATCGTTTACAAAGTGGTTAAGTAAGCGCAGAGTAGAAATGATGTCAAAATTGCTAACGCATCGTTCATTCAATAAAATTCATATTAAGGTAGATAATAAGTTCCGATTTGTTCGCTTTTTTTCCGACAAAGAGTTACTTGCTTATTGGCTTTTGTTAGGCGTTATACGGAAGAAATATATCTAATATACTTTTTTCTTTAAAACAAAAATGTGCCATAGAGATTTGACCCGAGAACACCCTCTTAAATAAAACAAGTTTTTGCAGCACTTCCGATAAAGCTAACTGCTATATTAATCATTTTCCCCATCCTAACTCGAAATGATTTCAAAACGTTCCAGCTCCCGAAAATTACATAATTTCGCAAGATAATAATTAAAAACGGTAGTATACTGTAAAAATGCCTTGTTCTTCTACCAAATGATAACAACTATTCTGCATTTGCCGTTTATTTTATTTGAAATATATACCAACACTAACACCCACTCATTTAATAGTACAGTGCTTTTAGTAATTATAATAGTTAAATCCATATGGAATTGACAAATTATTAAAGAGAAGACATTGAGGTCATTAATACATACTGTCTCTTGTAGCATCGTCACGTGAACCGCTCTATCGAACATGCAAACAAAGAGTTGCCGATAACACAACAAAGCCTACATTAGTCTCCATTGATTTCACCAATGACTTGTAATATAACACTGTTAATTGATTTTATAGAAGTCAACTGTTCTATAGATGTCGGTAGCAGATCACGTCATTCGGTGGCCGATCCCCAGACATACCACACATGTAATTGCATATAGGAATAATCAAGCACGGCTTTATGAAGGAATTTCAGAAAGATTCGTCATAGTGTTTTTTTTTTAGAAAGACTCGTCATTGTGTTGACCACCTGTGGTTTTGTAGTACATACATTAGATAAGTCGTTGCACTGCGTTAAACATATACAGGTATGTTTGAATTACATTTTACATTCATGGGCTTGATATGAGTGTTGCAAAACATGCAACGCCGTTGCCTTAAAGTTGATATTCTAGTTTTAATTGTAAACATATGTAGAAATTGATTCACGTGCAACTAGTTTACTCATAACACATTGTTTAAAGAAAAAGAGTAAAAATGTTACATGATTTTATTATGCTTGGAATGTCGACATTTCTACAAACTACATAAACACGTATAACAATGTGTTAATCTCTCTGTTTGCCTTCCCAAAATGCTTTCAAATCGGATACCACATTTCTTTAAATACGTATTTATGTAGGCGTTTCTGTTACAGTTGACGTACGCATATAAACATTTTAAACGACTGAACATGGGAAGGATTTTTGTATTGCTTCTGTTTGTGATATGCTGTGACGTCATCCTATCACAAGGTACCATGGATGACTTGGTGAGACTGAAGAATACTCTGTTCCAGAACTATACTAGGGACTTCCGTCCTGTTTATAACATGAGTGACCCGATACACGTGACAATCGATATGTTCCTGATCTCTATTTTAGACTTAGACGAAGTGACCGGTACAATCACCCTAAACTGTGGTCTCACATTGTTTTGGACTGATTACCGCCTTGCCTGGAACCCAAACGAATTCGGTATCACCTCTTTCGTGTTTAACTCGTCAAATGTGTGGAAACCGCGAATTTACATTACAACATCAGCTGACGATTTGTCGGATTTCTCTTACGACGCTTTCGATGTAAGGGTGAATTCTAACGGCACGGTATTTGCGTCACCAGGTCGACATGTAAAGGCTAGTTGCAGCTTCGACATGACCAGATTTCCGACTGATTCACAAACGTGTGTCATGCAAATTGCGTCATGGATATTCGCAGCTTCTGAGATGGTATTCATCATAGCACGACCACAAATCAACATGGTTTACTATAAACCTAATGGGGAGTGGGATATTGACTGGACGTCTGTCACAAACAACACTGATTTCGGATCTTACTATTCTGTTTTAGACTTTTCAATACATCTGACAAGACGTTCTGCATACTTTATTATATCCATGACTATACCAGTGCTACTCCTTTGCTTTCTCAACCCGTTCGTGTTTTTCTTGCCCACCTCCTCAGGAGAGCGGATTTCCTACACAATCACCATGTTCCTGTCGTTGGCCGTATTTATGACACTTATCGGAGAAAATATGCCAAAGGTTTCAGATCCAATGGCAGGGATTTCCTATTTCCTCTTCGTGGCTATGTTGTACAGTTGTCTGCTGATCGTGTTGACGATATTCACCCTGCGCTGTGGCGCTAAGAACGATAAACACAGGTTCCCTGGATGGTTGTTGCGGTTAGCCTCACGAAAAGCATTTCACAAATCAGTCAACAGCATCAATAAAGTAGATGACGCCAATAAAGTCAAAATTGTCCAGGTGATGGAGTATGGTAATGCACCTGAGGAGACAATTTCTCACGGAGACGAAGAACTACAAAAGACTGTGAGGAAGGAGGACATAATGCGTTTCATTGACAAAAGTCTTTTTTACATAACATTCTTAATAATGGTTGTTATTTGTGTCGTATTTAGTTTTTACTTCTGGTTTTAATTTGAAAGGCATTTCGTAATTATAATTCCAGATTTCATTTTGACGCCAAATAGATATTTGACCGGTTCGGATTTCTCCTCTTTTCTTACATCTGTAAGTGGAAGATATATTATGAAATTGACATACCAAATATTTCATGTTTTTT